AACCTCTGCAAATTTTCACATGATTACGATATCATATAGGCATGGCTTCGATACAAAAATTCCCATCTTTAGTAGTTTTTGTATGAAAAGTGCTTCGAAAATTATTTTTATCTAAAACTAAATGTCAGATTTAGTTTTCTTTCATGTCGTGGATCACAGTGCGGAAAAGTTCATCTTACGGATGTAAGACATTTTATTTTAATTAGAACAGCTCAATATGTGTTTACATTTACAAAAAAAGTATGAAATAACGATGCATTTTTCAACTCGTTAACAAAACAAGTTGCCATCATTATCATCGGTTTCTTTCTCTTCTTCATCACTGCATTTTGTGTCAGAATCGTCATCACTTGAAGTGACCGAAATATCGTCGTATTCCGTGCGAAAAACAATTCGAACTCTTACTGTGTCTCTTGGTACTTTGAAATTTTCTTGGTTGGATCTTGCCTGATAGCACTCCATATAGTCCTTGAATAGTACGTTATCGTCTTTATCATAGAATATAATGTATACTCCTGCATCCATACCCATTATAATTTTTTTGAAAATAGTCCGTTCTCATCAAAAACTCAAAACAAACTGTGTCAATTGATAAAATCGTTACAGTATTTTATACGAAATCTTTTGCGTCTATCCATGATGAATGTGAGTCATCGAATCCTAACCATTTAACTAACATCTTATTACCTTTTCTACGAATAATTTTTTCCACAAGGTAAATGTCAGTGAGTTTGGTTTTTTGAAGTTCATATACATAAAAGCATCCCTTTATTTTAATACCATTTAAATCAACAAGTTCGTATGTGATCGGTTCAGTTGGTAAAATTTTTGCTATACGAAAAATTTCGGTGCTCCAGTTGGGAGTGTAACCTTTCTCGAATAAACTTTTATATTTACTGATGCGCACATGTTCATTCTTTTTAAACTTGCTTTTTTTATTTACATTTATAGAAGAATTTTCCTTGTAAACAGTGCGCAGTAAATGCTCTTGGTTTTTTGCATTTACATCAATTGGACGCATTTTAATTGTACTGTGAATAGTTGAATTGTATGATTTCATAATATTTTGTAATTGATTCAACCATTTATGTGAACCTTGAAGACTAAATTGTTGCCACAGCTTATTTAGTATCGTACGATTAAGACGTTCAACGATTGACGCTTTCAGTTTACTGTATGTTGAATAATGATTGATTTCATGTTTTTTCATAAGTTTTTGAAAATGTTGATTGTAGAACTCTTTTCCCTGGTCCGTGTGCAAATTTTGTGGAATATATTGTGGATTCTTCGAGAAAATAAACGTCATTGCCTTTGTAACCTCTTCACCCGTCTTATTTTTCAACTCTCTTGCCCAGGCACGTTTGCTGAATACGTCAATCACCATTAAAATATAGCGATAGCCACGGTTTTGTTTGGAATACGGTATCATTTCAATAAGATCAGCTTGAAATGTATCATTAATACCACGCATAATATATCGTCTACGTGGAAAATTTTTACGTGCAGTATGATGGATTTCTTCAACAACTTGTTTTTTACTCATTTTAACTGTTTACTTGTCAATTAATTGACTAATACTAATAAAAAAATAGTTGAAACCACTCTATTTAATGATTTTCGCTTCCTTTAATTCTTCTAATATTGAAATGATTTCATTTGTGTGACCAGTGTGACCGACTGCTTGAGACGCAATTAATAAACGTAGTCGATCAACTAATTCGTTGGGATCGTCCCAATATGTGTAATGGAATTTTCCACTCTTATCAACAATTTTATAGTTCAATTGTGGTTTTTTCAATGAACCACCACTAGTTTGTTTTTTGTTACTTCCACTTCTAAGCGTTCTTACAGGGAATAAATTTTTAATTATATTTTGATATTTGCTTGATTTTAGATCTCTACGAATTAATTTATTTGTTGAAAAATCATGCTTATGAGCATTTGTTTGTATGAGCATATCTTTATATACATCAAGATCATTTTGTCCGTATTGTGTTGGTTTTGATAAAAGCAGAAGATTAATTAACCCATTAGTAATGGGAAATTCTTTTTTTTTTATAACAAATGCTAATGGTTTTTCATCACCACCAATTATATCAACTGTTGAATTTCCCAACATTAGTTCACCTCTATTGCTTCGAAATCCATAATAACTGTCTATTTTTGATGAATTCAATGCTTTAACTTGTCCAATTAGTTTTTTTTCTAGTGAATCAGGATCATAAATACTAAGGTCTTCATGAAAACTTTTATTCTTTGGAGATTCTGGTGTAGAGTCCGCGCTATCATATTCATCATCATCATCGTCATCATCATCATCTGTTTGCATCTTAGAAACACCACTAACATTAGAAATATTTACGACTTTGGGTGTATGAAATATAGGTCTTGCTCTATGTGGTGGCCACGCCGTCTTATACAAGCTTGACTTTGAGAACAATTTGTGTTTTTCTTTTTTCATAGGTTCCTTTTTTATAGGTTCCTTTTTTATAGTTTCATCATCATCTTGTTGTTTGCTTTTTTTGGCAACGTCAACCAATGTCTTGAGTGGGTCAATTATTGGTTTATATTGTTTATTGATTTTTTCACTAAAATCAATTTTTTCATTATGTAAATCTTGAAATTTTTTTTTAATAGCATTTCTCGCTTTAACAACTGAATTTTTTAATGACAGTTCTGATTTAACACTCGTTGCAGGAGTCTTTGGCTCCTTTGCATCTTTTTTTAAATTATTCATAATGATACAATTTTATTACTATTATACATGTTAATGTATGCACGCACAAACGTTTACTGAATCATGTGTATGTATAATTTCCATTTTTATAATCTTTTTCTTATATTTATACTTTTTTTACTGGAAACGAAATAAATTTATCAAATTGTATACGATATCTTCCATTATTTATAGATCGTTCAATGTCAATTACTAGAAATCCATATTTTTTACTCCACGAATGCACACAAATGTCTTTAAACACCTTAAATGTCATATCAACTGAAATTCCAAAATCGTCATATATATGTTTCAGATTCATATCATCTTGTTTAAATAAAATTATCAGGTTAGCGTTTTCTCGTATTAAATGCTTAGGAATGTGTGTATAACTCTGACTTAAATAGAAACAATCCACACTTTTATGACGACACATACAAAAATATTCTCGTATATTGTTCTGTTTATCAAAAACAACATCATCAAATATGAACACTGAATTGGGTTTAACATCTGTCAATGGAATAACTTGATCATTCGATGAGAACATGTAAAAACCAAGGCCTTTAATGGATGATAAAATTTGTTTAAGACGCATATACTTTGCTTGAAATAATGATTTTGCATATACGTAAATATTTTTAAAACGCAGTCCGTTTGGACTTTCCAGCAAATTAATCATAACATTCGTTTTTCCACAATTTGATGGACCACAAATTATACAACGTATACTATTTGGTAGTAGAGCGCTATGTTTATAATAAGTTTTTTCTAAATAACATCCTGCTCCTTGAACTTCAACATCATTTATTGGTAATTTCACCGATTGTTGATGTATTTTTATATAGTTCATTTTTTCTATGGTAAAACAGAACGCTTTGAACAACTATCTGTCAGTAACTGAAAAGAATTCGAAGAAATCAGACGTATTTAAAACATTTCCAAATGTAATAATGTTAAAAAAATTGAAAAGAACAAAGTGTAATAAAAAATATAAAAGAGTTGGAGAAGGTTTAATCAACGCAATTATAAACAAACTTCCATTCGAATTACACATTCCTTCATATCAATACTGTGGTCCGGGAACCAAACTTGAAAAACGATTAAAACGTAACGATCCCGGCATTAATAAACTTGATCAAGCGTGCAAAGAACACGATATTGCCTACTCAAAATCAACAAACGTAGCAGATCGCAATCAAGCAGATAAAATTTTAGCTAATAGTGCGTGGGAAAGATCTAAAGCATCAGACGCTAGTATAAGTGAAAGAGCTGTTGCTCTTGGTGTTGCTGGAATTATGAAGGCTAAAAGCAAAATGGGTATGGGTATTAAGCCCAGCAAGTCAAAAGTAAAGAAGAAGAGTAACAAAAACACGAAAACTAAAAAAAAGTTAACTGTCAAACAAATATATCGTCATGCAACTAAAACAGCGAGAAATGCAATTCAGAAGAAAAAACCAAAAACAATTCCAGATGCAGCAAAGTTGGCGCTGATAGCCGCAAAACTAGCTGTAAAAGGCAAAAAACCAAAAAAAGATATCATACAAAATGAATTGCCAAGAGTGATTCCAGTGCCTAAAGTTGGTGGTGTTTTACCATTGATTCCAATATTTGCTGGTCTTTCTGCACTAGGTGCTTTAATGGGTGGTTCAGCAAGTATTGCGAACGCAGTAATATCTGCAAAAAATGCAAAAAAAAAATTCCAAGAAGCACAGCGTCATAATGAGACTATGGAAGCAGTTGCTCTGAATCGACATGCAAAAACAGGCTCTGGAATGTTCTTGCAACCATATAAAACGGGATTAGGTCTTTATCTAACTCCACATCCAAAAAACTTGTAAACAAGCTCCTCGATGATATAAAAAGACCACTCAATGAATTAGATATTCTACGTTTTGGTACATTTTTACCACATTTTCGTGGTGTTTTCATGCGTAATAATTTACCAATACGTTGTCATAAATATGAATGTGGAGTGATTAATTTAGATGATTCAGAAGGTCCGGGAACACATTGGGTGAGCTACTATAAACACGATAAAACATGTTACTATTTTGACAGCTTCGGTGACTTGCAGCCGTTTCAAGAATTTATAAAATATATCGGTAACAGTTGTATGATTCATTTCAACTATAAGCAGTTTCAAAAATATGATACAGTTGTATGCGGACATTTATGTTTAAAATTTTTATTTGACATGATTTATAAGAAATAAATAAAAATAAAAATTGTATAAAATAACAAATGCATTGGCCATTTTGCTTATTTAACTATTAACCATGCCATCAGTAACACTTACGTTAAGTGGCAACACGTCACAGTTAAACGCACAATATTTTCCAGAGATCGATTTAAGTGATGGTGAATACGTTTGTGGACTAATTGATTTTCAAACATTCAATTCAATTCCAAACATTGATGAGACAAATAACCTATTTTACTTTGGATATGATGAACAAGATATGATAGATAACACTACACCAAATCAAGACATAGACTATGACTATGAAGATTTGGATGATGATAGTAATGAAAGTAATAAACAAGTCGTAAATAAGCAACCACAACAAAATGAGTCATCATCGAGTGTCGCAGTAGAAATGCGACGACGCAAAAGAGCTATTCCATTTGATGCATTTAAACCAAAACAACCGCTGACATGTGTAATGATACCTACAGGATCATATGAACTTGAACATTTAGCAACACATTTAAAAAAAGAGCTACACAGACGATTTGTCCGATTGATGTTGCTAGCAAACAAAAATACTTTACGTTGTGAAATGTTATGTAGTCAACAAGTTGATTTTACAAAACCACACACAATTGGACCTCTTTTAGGATTCCGTAATGATGGTGAGAAATTAAGCGCAAATATAACGCATGAGTCACAAGTTCCAGCAAATATACTGAAAATTAATGTCATTCGAATTGAATGCGGCATCGTACAGGGGGCATACTTAAACAACCAACCATCACATACTATTCATGAATTTTCACCAAGAGTTCCACCAGGATATAAGATAGTTGAAGTGCCACAGAACGTCATTTACTTCCCAGTCACCGTGAAGAGTATACAAACACTTGGGATCTCTATAGTTGATCAAGACAACCGATTAATTAATTTTCGTGGTGAAACCATTACTGTTCGGTTACATATAAAAAAAATTAATTAGATAAAATAATGCTTATTTACAATACAAAACGTAAAGGCATCATACAGAACAAACCTCTTGAAAAGTTAAAAAAAGTGAAATCATTATCGAAAGCAGATAAAAAAACTATCAAGGGTAAATCCTTGAAAAAAGCAAATATCAAATATTTGAAAAGTCTTGGTTTTAAATTAAAGTAAATATTAACAAGTAAAACTAAGGACATCGTAAAATGAGCAGTGAAATTCTAGATTTACATAGCACTGCTACGTCTGAAGACTCAATCACCGGCATTCAATATCATGCCTACAATCCATACACGAATTCATTTAAAAACAGTGATGAAATTCATATCGTAATCCAACATCAAGACCTGTATGTGCTACCACATGAAAGTTATATCTATATAGAAGCTCGTGCTAAAGTCACTCCTGCTGCAAACGCAACTGCTGCTCAACAAGTTGCACCATGTTATGTAAATAACGCAGCATCTTTTCTATTTGATGAAATACGATATGAATTAAATGGATTTCTAATCGATAGCTGTAAAAATGTTGGTATTACATCATCAGTCAAGGGGTATGCTACATTTCAACCTAAGGATATGAGCCATATGGAAATTGCAAGTTGGAAGAAAGAATCAAACAAAACAGTTGCTAATGAAAGTGTAAACTTTTGCATACCCCTAGCCAATATTCTCGGTTTTACTGAAGATTATCGAAATATTGTTATGAATGCAAAACACGAACTAATACTAGTACGCAGTCGTAGTGATACAAACTGCTATGTCGGTGCGAATAACATTGCCTCATTGGAAATACAAAAAATACAATGGCGTATCCCACACGTAGCCGTATCAGATACAGAAAAATTAAAATTAATGAAAATCATTGATAAAAAGCAACCCATTCAACTAAATTTCCGTTCTTGGGAATTGTATGAATATCCCACAGTACCAAATACAATGAAACATATTTGGAGTGTCAAAACTAGTGCACAACTTAATACCCCTCGCTACATTATAGTTGCATTCCAAACAAATCGAAATAATCGTATTACAGCCGACAAAAGTCGATTTGATCACTGTCAATTGAGTGATTTAAAAGTTTACCTAAATTCAGAATGTTTCCCATATGAAAATTTAAATGTCAATTTTGGAACTAATGTTTACGCTGTTCTCTACGATATGTATGTACGTTTTCAAAAAACATTTTATCATGATCGTCAAGCATTTGCTGCAACACCATTACTTACATTTGAAGAATATAAAAATATTGCACCGATTTTTGTTATTGATTGCTCACGACAAAATGAATCATTAAAAAAAAGCATCGTTGATATAAGAATTGAAATTGAGACTAGAGTCAACTTTGAAGATAATACAAGCGCATACTGTATAATTATTCATGATAATATGATTGCTTACAATCCTTACACTAACATTGTCAACAGAATAATGTAAATGTCTTACTTAAAACTATAAATTGAATAAGTGAATTAAGAAATATGTCACTGTGAATTCAAACATTAATTGAGTAACATCAAAAAGATTATTTACTTAAAAATGGAAGAAAACTACGCATTTGTTGACTTCCAAGGCTTCAAAAGCAATAAAAACAAATTTATAGTGAAAGAATTCGCAATCACCACAAAAAATATTCAATTTCATGATACTGTTAAATCACCGTTTTCAATTTATAACTTGGATGCAGAACATTTACATCAAGCCCAATGGCTTATCAAAAATCATCATGGTTTAGAATGGTGTAGTGGATACATTTCTTTGAAAGAATTACAATATACAATAAGACCAATTTTGTATAAGAAAACAATATATGTAAAAGGCAGTGAAAAATTAAATTGGCTTAAACAAATTTTAGGTGATAAGAACCATTTTTATAAAATAATTAATGTCAATTCTGAAGAATGTCCATTTATTTTTGATAAACAAGACACAATTGTCTTGTATGATAAATTTCATGAATGTAAAAAACATAATTTACTGAAAAACAATAAAAAATGTCATTGCGCATTATTAAATACATTAGTATTAAGATGTTGGTATTCCAAAATAAAAAAAAATAAAATATAAACAACTAAAATCTATGTTGTTATTTCTAATTGATTTTTTTGATGCATTGAATATGTGGACCTCTTTTGGACCTTGTAAGTAGTTGTGCGTTTTGTATGTATACGTAAATTCGTCACACGGACATGTGACGTCACATATATGTACATGCAAAACGCACACTTACAAGGTCCAAAAGTAATATAGGTCCCTCTACTAATTGAGGAGGGTAGTCGGTAAGAAACACACGTCAATATGATTGTAATGCGACTGAAAAAGTTATTCGTATAAACTTCACATACCTTTTGAATTTCGTGTCAATTATTATTTGGTTTTTCAGTTTTTCGAAATCAATTGTCTAGATACGTACGTCTTTGGAAGAAAAAAATTCCACCATCATCATTTTTAATACAGATGTTTTTTGTGTAAGTATGAGCTGTTTCAATATTTCATTGCCTATTTTATCAACTGGTTCTTATAAACTTGTAATTTTGGCCAGTCATTCTTATTTTCACCGAACGTTACATGTGTTTGTAACAATCTAACCAAGTGACACGTATGACAAGTAATTTTTTAATTTTTGTAATTAATGAAATTATTTTTTAGTCGATTTGTGGTTACGAGATAACATGAGTAAAATAAAGTGCATTCTCTTGGCATTCATTATCGGATATCTAAGCACATGCGAATCCCTGAAAATTGCTGTGATTGGTGCGGGTCCATCGGGTATTGTCAGTGCAAAGAGAGCTCTCGATCAAAAGCACAATGTAACGATTTTTGAAAAAACTGGCACACTCGGCGGTGTATGGTACTATACAGAAGAAACTGACAAGGATGAATATGGTGTTGAAATTCATAGTCCAACATATCGCGATCTCAAGTGAGTATTGTTTCAATCAGGCAATATATTTAGCTGTCGTCATCTGGATATTACAGCTCATCTGGATATCGTCAGCAGATGATTCAAAGTGAAAACAATAGAAGTGATTGTTATAGGTATATAAGCTTGTTATATACTGGTATTACTATTACAATCACTTCTATTGTTTTCACTTCGCATCATCTGCTGACGGCATCCAGATGAGCTGAAATATCCAGATGACGGCAGCTAAATATATTGTCTGGTTTCAATCTATATAGGTTTTGTAATAGAAATAGTGAGTTTTTAATCAAAATATATATGTATCTTTAAAATAGGACAAATATACACGCGCAATACATGGCCTTCGATGACTATAAACATCCAAATGGAACACGTCCATTTCTATCACATAAACTTGTATTTAAATATCTGAATTCATATGCCGACAAGTTTCATGTAAGGGAACTCATTCGCTTTCATCATTTGGTCGACAAGGTTGTTTTGATGAAGTGCGGCAAATGGCATGTGACTGTTTTGAGAAAGAATTTACCTAAAAAGAAACAAAAAGAGACTCATGAATTTGACGCTGTTCTCGTTTGCTCTGGCATAAACTTTGAAAAACGAATTCCAAAAATTGACGGCGCCAGTAAATTCAAGGGAAAAATCATGCACAGTCGAGCGTATCGCAAACCTGAAACATTCGTCGGTATGAAATTTTTGAGACGAATTACTTGTTACTTTAATTGAAAAAAAAAAGTTGAACAAAAGAAGAACCCACTCAAATTGGATTTGAAAATAAACTAAATACATCGTTTTAGGTGAGGATGTCCTGGTGATAGGAAGAGGACCTTCAAGCCATGACATTGCAAGACAACTTTACGACGCCGATGTTCGAGTTGTACAAAGCTCATACAAACCCGTTTCTGCTCTGAAAAAACAAATGGGTAAACCATCTGCCAAACTAATTGGAATTTACTTGAAAAACGTCGTTAAAAGCTAAAAAGTTGAAAATACAACTCTCGAACTAATAATTTCAATTTCTTCTTAAGATTTTTAAAGTTTGCATTGAAAAAAATTACTTGCAGAAGCGATGACAATCGATGAACCAAATGATTTTCATGGTGAATGCCAAACTGTAGACAGCAACCTTTCCTCAGAATCTAGCAATGTAAAACGCTTCAAAGATGAAAATCGAGTTGAATTTGAAGACGGAACGTGTCAAAAAATTTCCGTGGTTATTTATGCAACAGGTAATATGATATGCGTCTTAATGTCACTCAGTGACCCCCGCCAAGTTGTGGAAATGAGATTGAATGATTTATTTTCAGGCTATAAATATTCGTATCCATTTTTGGATGCAAGCGCTGGCATTCATGTCAAAGATAATTTCGTTGAACCATTGTACATGCACGTTTTGAACGTAGAACATCCGACAATGGCATTCATTGGCGTAGCTCATGGTGGATTACATTTTCCAATGTATGATTTGCAGGTAAATCTATTACTCCCGAATTCGAAAACGGATTTTACAAATAAAATGAT